GCCTTTCCGCTAACCCCGCGAACCGACTTGTCGGTAATATTCAGTCGGCTAATGTCTTAACCCCGTTAGCTCCGCTCCGTCCGGCTCCGCCAATTGCGGAACCGTCTCCGCTGTAACCATATATATACACTACTTGTACATAGGTTACGCCCCAGCAGATAAATCAACTAGAGTTACCCCACTAGTTTCTAAGTGCCAGTCAGTAAGTTAGGGCACGGACGTGTCACTAGGCACAGCGCTCCTGGCAGAAGTCGCTGAGGCCAAAGCCCTCCGTTACGGAGACATTCCTTCGTCTTGAATCTGGTCTCTGACACTCTCGCATTTTCCCCTCATCCCTATTTGGACTGCTGCTTCTTCCCATTCTAGCCAGTTAGTCATCATCCCCACTTCCCCTCATCCTCCTGCCCCTCTGGGCCTTGCCCTCCTTACCTCCTTTTGGACGTACCACAGGTTCTGCCTTATGACCTTCGGTACCGCTCCGCTTCGGTCTTCCCTTTGTTCCTGTTTGGACGCCTTCGTTCCGATTTGGATCCCCTTTGTTTCCTTGTGCTTTCGCCCTCTCATTATATATATCGGTGCCTGTACATACTCGTTTTAGGCCTTAGTCTAAAATCGACCTGAAATGCCCCTTAGAGACTTCCTGCTCGCCCCCTATGAAATTAAGGACCAAATGGACAAACAGCAATGGCACAGCGCTCCGCTTGAGTCACTGAGGCCAAGGTCCCTCCTTGCTAAGTCTCCGGTTCCCCTCCGGAATCGTCCGCCCTCGCCCAGTTCTAACACAGCCCCACCTTGCGGCTAGGAGATGTAGGGCTAGTAGACCGCTTTGAACAGGTGATCAACTCCCGGCTCTGAGAGAGCATCTACCACCTCCACCCCATGCCAACTACCTGGGCCGAGTGGAAACACGAGGCCACCCTCCTCGACAACCAGTGGCGACGCTTCCAGGTGACCCAGCCCCGCTTGCCCCCAGTCAGGCCCCAACTCCCACCTGTGAGATTCCCACTCCCTACCACCTTCCTGCAAGCCTGCCCAGCCCCTGCACTGCCACACCCCCAACCCACCGCTGCACTGCCACCCCCTGCAGCCCGCCCTGCAGTAGGGGAGGGCCACAACCCATGGACCTTGACTGCTCGAGGATAGACCAAAGACGAAATGGCCTCTGCTACAATTGCAATGCACTGGGGCACATCGTGTGGGACTGCCTGCAGCCAAAAACCCGCCAAGCCAGACGGATGCACCCAGAGGACCTCAGGGCACTCATGGAGGGGCTGAGAAGGCAGCTGGTGGATGAGCCGGGGATGGAGACGGATGGAGGACAAGGGCAGGAGGTAGAAGCCCAAGAGGATTTTCAGGAAGGCAACCAGTGAGGGACACGCCCTGGCCGCCTGTAGGCGATAGTACCAGCTCATGTAGATACCATGATGCACCTAAGCCAGCGCCGACATCCAAATTCCACTGAGTCATCGCCAAGAAAAAGAGGAAAATCGCATCCTCGATCAGTAAGGGCAGAGAAACACCAAGTGCAGCACCGGAAGTAGCGGTCCTGCCACCCGCCATCTATGTGCTGTCCAAGCAACCCCCCAGATCCCTCAACCTAGCTGTAAAGCTGACTGCCTTGACCTCCCTCACCACTGTCTCTGTGTCAGCCCTCCTGGACTTGGGAGCCACTGGGAACTTTGTAAGCCCTGAGTTTGTCAGAAAACACCAGCTCAAGACGACCCCGCTCCCCCAACCCATTCCTGTCCGCAACGTTGATGGGACCCCAAACGAGAATGGGGCCATAACTGAGGAACTAGAGGCCCTCCTGACATTCAGATGGCACATGGAGCGGGCCCGCTTCACCGTCGCGAACCTTGGGCAGCAGTCCCTCATCATAGGACACTCATGGTTGCTGCACCACAACCCAGAGGTGGACTGGATGTGGCAAAAGGTCAGTATGTCCCACTGCCTGTCCTCCTGCCAGCCAGCACAAGGACATGCTGACCCAGACCCCATGGTGGAACCTGGGGACAGGATTTACACTGCTATCATCCCTCCAGGGTGAGGACACGAACTAAGAGTGACCACAACGCTGTAATGGGGATTTGCCGGTGTACCCTAAACGAGCCAAATTCCACGATTCTACCACCCTCAGCAAGCACCTCACATCCATCACATGTAGCCTATATCCCCTCACACTCTTTACACACATTTCCTATTTTTCCTAATTTTTCCGATTCCATTTCCGATGTCTAGAGGCCGATGTTTCCATTTTCTTATTGTCATGTGATATTCTTTCCTATTTTGTCTATTGGACTCTTCCATGACTACTGTATAGTAGCTAGAGAGTATCAGCACCAGACTCGACTGGACCAATATACCCATTCAGACCTGACCCTCAGTGAGATTCCTATCCCCCCTCTTTCATGTCATGAGTCTAGTTGGATAGACCTGTTACAAATCTGGTGGTCCTTACAGGGGGGATAATCCACTTTGTCAGGTTTTCAATCACGCAAGTTCACGTCTTTCATTTGTTTGGAAACACCCTCATTTTATTTGGATATCGACTATCTACACCATTTGTTACCCTAAGAAGAGGAAGAAGTACAAGAAAGGATCTACAAGTCTACAGATCCACACATTCCACCCGCACCTGCAAGACTTTGCAAGTTTCACATTTGTTTCTCCTGGAGGACCTCAAGACGAGGCACAGGGGATCGTGTTATTGTTAAAGTTGTTCACTCCTGGTGGATCTCACGAAGAGACACAGGAGCCTGTGTTTGTTATCAAGTTTTAGCGACATGCTGCCCTTAAGCAAGTTTATCGCGATTGTCCCTCCTGGCAGATCTCACGATGAGGCACAGGGGGTCGAGTTTATTGCTCAAGTGGTTAACTCCTGGCGGATCTCATGAAGAGAGCACAGGAGCCGGCATTAGTTTCTCTGATTACCAAGTTTTGCAACATGTTTTGGCAACATGTCACCCTGTTTACTTCCATTTGACCCTCATTTTACGATTCCTCTCCTTTCTGGATGACAAGCGGCATAGAGAATCATCCGAGTATCATCAGAACAGGTCCTGAGCGACCCACACAATCATTTTCAAGTTTCACCTTTTTGTTTTTAACCTTTCAAGATGGCCATAGGTCCCACTGTTGCAGTGCCGATATTTTACACACCCATGCCGATGCCCCGTAGCCCAGATGCACCCCGATTCAGAGGCAGGTGGATCGTCAAGTTCCTTAGCAAATATGAGTCACTGGCTGATGCGGCACTTTTCACGGAAGCTCAGAAATGCGAATTTCTGACCACTTACTGCACTGACAAGGAAGCGAGGTTCATTTCCACGCTGGATGGATTCGAGAACCCAAATTGGGTGTTGCTCAAGAAAGACCTGCTGGACTTTTATGGCGTTGACGAAGAACCCTTATTTTGCCTCAAGGATCTCCACAAGTTCGTAAAAAAAGGTTGCAAGATGAAGACCTTTGATCACCTTGACCGATATTTGTGCAAGTTTGAAGCCATTTCCAACTCCTTAGAGGCACAGGGTGCCCTCGCTGTTGTTGAGCACGATGATTTGTTTTTCCGTGGATTTCCGTCGAAGTTTAGGCACAAGCTCAAGTTCGATCTGCAAGTTCAAAGTCTGTGGCTTGATTTGACTCAGCCCCCCAGTATGCATGATGTTGTTGCAGCGGCAAGGGCCCTGCTGCAAGATGCCCACGATCGCAAAAGAATTAGTTTCTATTCATTGATGTCTGATGTGTGGACCAGTGTATATGTCGATTCACCAGAACTTTCAATGCACTCCACGGTTCAGAGCGATTTCACGCCCGAGTTCGATGCCGAGACAAGTGCCAGCAGCTCAACACTAGACCAGATGGACCAGTACCAGCCTGAAGCCCGTGAAGCGCGGAGCGCCTACGAAATCAAGTCAATTGCTGTATCCAAAGATTACATGCCTGAGCTGAAGTCTGATGACGCAACAAACCTAGAGGCGAGTGCCTACGATAGCGCAAGTTATCCCAACATGCTAGAGCTCAATGATCAAGAGCTAAGGCCTAGCGGCCTTGAACATGTCTCAGAATCCGCTGTTCTTGAAGGAGGCCAAGTCTGCCAGGCCTTACAGCCGACTACAATCCACTTAGTGTGTTCAGACAAAGCCGGAGAGCCTCAGTCAATGGAGGCGATTGCATACTACAAATCCGATCTAGCCGACAGTGAAATAGTCAACGATGTCTTCGATTTCGACCCGCATTCCGAGAACTCTCGCAAAACAATCCATGATGTTCCTAGCCCCAGTTTGGATTCGCGCCACGATGACGAGAATCCCCATGAGACGGTTTATGAGAGCTTTGACCTGGACTCATATTTCGATGGTGATACTCCTTGTGAACCAGATTGTGACTATGATTCAGACTGGGAATTGTACATTGCGAAGTCTAAAGGCGCAGATCTGCTACATAGTATCGAGGTTCCAGTAGACTGTCTGATGCTACCCAGCGACGATGGGAAAGCCTGTGAAACCATCCGCAATGTCCTCAATTCGCATGTGTACTATGACAATGAGAAGACTCATGAAAAGCGCACCAACGTCGCGGACCCGGACCTGTGTATCCAGTATGAAGACTTGTGTGGATCGATCTACGATGTCTTCAGCCTGAAGTCGTATCTTGACGATGAGGCCCCTTGCAAAACGGCTTTCAATGTCTTCGACTCGTTCGCATGGTTTGATGAAGAGAACTGTTACAAAAATGGGGCCGGAAGCGCCCATTTTCGTCTGTTCTGGCGCAGGAATAGGGAAGGGGGGTTGGACATAATGGTTTACAGGTGGTTTCACAGATGGTTTGACATGTGGTGTAACAGATGTTAGCACAGCGGGTTTTTTGGTTAATTATTGATTGGTTCAACTTAATTACTCTACATATCACATGATACAGAACCCATAAGGGTCTAAAATGGGAAATTCCCATTTCCATAACAAGAACTCCCGTGAAACTTCCCCTGACACTTCAGATGTGGACTCGCGCTTCGACGGTATTGAGACCATGGACCCACCCCAGACAGGTGATCCAACAACACCCAAGGCACCTCAACCGCTGGATTTCTTACACACCACGCCAGAGCACAATGATCGAGAGCTAAGGCCTAGCGACCCCGAATGTGTCTCGAAATCCGACATTTTCACAGTATGCCAGACCTCAGAACATGCAGCAATCGACCTTGTTTGCCGAGTCGAGGAGCCTCAGTCAACGGAGGCAATCGGATACTACTGCGACTTCAAATTTGACCTGATCGATTCACAGCCTGTACAAATCTCCAAATTAGAAGGTGTGACCGAGACCGAAGAGTGCAGCAGCAGCGCCAAGTCCCCTGTTGAGCCCAGCGAAGGCAGATGTGAAGACACTAGTCCGGAGCGACTCAGGCGAGAATTAAGAAATCAAGTGGCATTCCCTGTCAGTTCCCCAAGTATGAGTTCGACAACAGCGAAGTGGCTGAGCAAGTTAAGTTTTCGATGCATGAGTCCGGTGAAGGGTACAAGGATCCGCCCAAGAAGGATCCAGATAAGGTTGTAGGACATGAATTCAATCCCAATCGTGGTGAAGCGCCTGAGTACGTGAAGTCGCTTCCTATCACCCCTGAGTTCGAAGACGGTTATGGAGAACTGCCCACAAAAGACCCTGATAAGGGTATCAATGTGATGAAGTATTCGGGCGATGGCAGATACGAGTCTAAGGTGACTCCAGAGGCCGAAAGTATACGAAATGTCAAGCTCCACAGTGATATCCTCGCGCTCAATATGCCGGAAGGCATCTACATCATTTGCGGTGATGATATCGCCCTGTTCGAAGCCAAACGCGAGTCTGAATCCAGCAGGAAGTCAGAAATAGCACGAGCCCTGGACTCAGCACAAGAGCACAGTGAGCATAAAGATAAAGAGCTAAGGCCTCCTGGCCTCAATGAAGAGCTCAATTGTTGTTGTTCTACATTGTGTACCGAGTTCCGCCATGAGGTTTCCATGCTTAAGATGGTAGAGGGCACTTACGTCGTTCAGGGTGACTTTGTGGTTCTCTTTGAAGATGCAGAGCACGAGGTCCAGTTCAGAGGCGAGCCTAACCTGGTGCAAATTGGCACTGAGCTCAAGGATAAAGAGCTACGGCCTCTCAGCTTCAGCGGTGTGTTCGGAAATTCCGACTCAGTGGATGACTATGCATGCGATTCTGGATGTGAATCCGACATCGGCTTTGATGCAGTACCCGAGGGCATTGGGATGATTGATCCCCCTGAAGTCATTCTTACACACGAGTTGAATCATGAAGAACGAGATTGTGATTTGATTGGCAAGCACGCTATCATACATGGCAGAATCGATGCAGTGAAAAGCCCTACCTTCAAGAATGCCGTTACTGCTAGTCCTGGTATTAGAGCGCCCAAGCATGCGAAAGCCCCATGTTTCCCTGGCGATGGCTATGAATGCCGACCCGAGAAAGACCCCGACAAGGTCTCAAATGCGAATGAGTGTCCGGGCGATGGCCTAGCCCGAGAACAAGAGTCTGAGGAGACTCCAGAGGCCGAACGTTCGCGAGGTGTTGAGTCCCATGGTGACACCTTCACGCTTGAGGGAGCTGATGGGACCATTCGAGTACTGGTCTTGGATTGTGAGTCTGGGCCCAAGCGTGGGATCAATTGCATGTCGAATGCGGAGTCTTGGGCCGAAGTAAGCGAAATCAGCAATGGCCCATACAAGTCGGCGATGGGAGTGAAAATGAGGCTTACCATTGTGCCTAAACCTCTCGTTCGACCTGTAGTTCTCCCAGATGTAATGGCCACAACGGCACGGAGATGCATGCAAGTTCATGGCAGAATGATAAAGATTGATGCCAATTGCTGGCTCGAGGGTGAGATGAACGCGATCTCCCATGTTCCAGGACGTCTTGATCACCAGAGTGAAGCTGCAACGACAACAGAAGGGATCATAGAAAGTCTAGAGTGCTGAGGTGTCCCTGATCCAAGTCTCATGTCAGGATTCAAAGGTGAAATGGAGCCAACTGCCAGCACCATGAGTGAGTGCGGAAGCCGAGTACCCAGTCACCTGGAGACATCATCATCGAGCCGAGAGGCCATGCATAAAGAGCTTAGGCCTCCTGTCCAATGCCAAAGTCCGCATGTGAGCTGTGCGATGTCAAAGCCATGTTCAAGGTCGAAGACTCATAACAAGTTAGATGTTCGAGAACCCATTGCTCAGCCAGATGTTCTCGGCAGAGAGAGTAATCCCAGATGCCAGAGAAGTGCTCCGTATGCACGGGATGATAGTCTAGACAGCCAGAGATGCCAGAAGAATGCGCTCATTGAGTCGAAATCCCGCGACCCTTACCCCAGCACAGTCTCATGGGGTTGGTTTACTGAACGTGTGACATGTTACTCAGTCGATTTTGTGCGAGCCAAGTGTCCAGAAGGTTCTGCTAGTCAGCACCATAGTCAGACCGCTCAAGTGTATGGCTATCAGGGATCCGTTAAGACGTCAAAGACATTGCTTCCGAGGACAATTTGTGTTGTGTTGCAAAATGGAGACGAGGCTGAGCATTGCCTTGAGCATGGATACATGCCTCGCATTAGCGAATACGAGCCTAGAGTGTGGAGGAAGAAGCCTCCCTGATGTTGCCGGGTTGACGCAAATCTGGCAGTCCCAATCACGCATCACATCAAGTTATTTATTTATGCAACATTCATGATTTATTCTTTACAAACCCTCAGGATTTGTGGATTGGGGATGATGCTGCTGGTTTCATTTTGGATATCATGAGGGACCATGATTGAGAGCTAGGCCTGTATGTAATGGGGATTTGCCGGTGTACCCTAAACAAGCCAAATTCCACGATTCTACCACCCTCAGCAAGCACCTCACATCCATCACATGTAGCCTATATCCCCTCACACTCTTTACACACATTTCCTATTTTTCCTAATTTTTCCGATTCCATTTCCGATGTCTAGTGGCCGATGTTTCCATTTTCTTATTGTCATGTGATATTCTTTCCTATTTTGTCTATCGGACTCTTCCGTGACTACTGTATAGTAGCTAGAGAGTATCAGCACCAGACTCGACTGGACCAATATACCCATTCAGACCTGACCCTCAGTGAGATTCCTATCCCCCCTCTTTCATGTTGCAAGTCTAGTTGGATAGACCCGTTACAACACCATCTCAGTGGATGGCCCAGGAAGCCTGCGAACCAGAAGTGGAACCTGCGCCGTTTGAGGTGCTAGTCCCAGAACAGTACCAGGACTTCCGGGACATGTTCTCGAAAGAGGCCTTCGACCAGCTGCCCCCCCGGAAGCCCTGGGACCATGCAATAGACCTGGTGCTGGATGCCAAACTCCTGAGAGGGAGGACCTTCCCCCTGTCATGACCAGAACAGAAGGAACTAGATGAGTTCCTGCATGAGAACCTGTGGAACGGGCGCATACAGGCATCCAAATCCTTGATGGGAGCCCCAGTCTTCTTTGTCAAGAAGAAGGATGGATCGTTGTGCCTGGTCCAGGACTACCGGAAGCTCAACAAGATCATGGTCAAAAACTCATACCCCCTCCCACTCATTTCAGACATCCTCACATGCCTCCGAAACACTAAGTACTTCTCAGTGCTAGACCTGCACTGGGGATTTAACAACGTCCGCATCAAGGACGGCAATGAGTGGAAGGCGGCATTTTTGACCAACCAGGGATTATTCGAGCCTACCATTGTTGCAGGGATAAACCCTTGCACTACAAAACAGTGCTCTTTCATTCTTTCATGTACATACATTGGTGAGTGTAGTTGGGGTAGTCCCGTGACTGCACAGCCACAACTATACAGCAGCAACACAAACAGCACCGTACTACAAGGACCTCTTTTAGTGACAGTCAGTGAGGCCAGGAGACTACTGTCCCCCCTGTGAGCCTGTGTGACATTGGGATGGATTTCCCTGTTACACCGTTATGTTCTTCAGCCTGTGTAACTCCCTGGCAACATTCCAAACAATGATGAACGACATTCTCCAAGACTTCATCGACCGAGAGGTCATCATCTGCTACATGGACGACATCTTGATCTTCACTGCCACCCTGGAGGAACACCAGAGGGTCATCTGAGAGGTCCTGGAGACACTGTGGAAGCGGAGGCTCTTCTTGAAGCCGGAAAAGTGTAAGTTCGAGCGGAAGTGGATCGAGTACCTCGGCCTCATCATCTCTGAGGGAAGTGTCGTGATGGACCCCATGAAAGTCCGTGGAGTTCTTGACTGGCCAACCCCAACCAAGGTCAAAGAAGTACAGCCCTCCTTGGGGTTTGTCAACTTCTACCGCTGGTTCATCAAAGACTTTTCTGAGACAGCCTGCCCCCTCCACATGCTAACCCACAAAACCAAGGCATGGACCTGGGGACCAGACAAAGACCGCACTTTCCAGGCCCTCAAAGACGCCGTCACCTCCGCCCTGGTCCTTGCTTTCCCTGCTGATACAGGTCGCTTCAAACTCAAGTGCAACACCTCTAACTTTGTGACTGGAACGGTCCTATCCCAGCTCCAGACAGATGGAGAGCTTCACAGATGTAGAGCGTAACCACAAGGTGTACGACAAGGAAATGCTCGTTGTACACACCCTTGAGGAGTGGTGGCATTTCCTACAAGGAGTGGAGGAGAAAGTCGATGTCTACTCCAACCACCGCAACCTAGGGTATTTCCACATTGTGCAACAGCTGAATCAGTGCCAAGCGCAGTGGTCACTCTTCCTCTCCCAATTCCACTTCACCCTCATCCACCTGTCAGGGACATGTCCAGGGTCGAGGGGGGCCCAGATGTAGCGCCCAGGGCTGAGGCTCTCGCAGGGTGTAGAGTGGGCGCATGTACAGATGGGCCGGATGTGGGACGATGGTCCCTGGCCACTTACACTGAAGTGGGAATGTTGAGAAGAAGGTTACTTCTTCAGTTCCCACCCCAGGAGTGTTTATATACTTGCGGTCTGAGTCACATGAGGTCTGCCATGTCACCCCACATACAGCCACAGTCACCCGGGTGTCCCCATGGGGGATCCTGAGGGTGTATGCTGCACACACGCATACTAGGTTCTACCCTAGAGTCATCCGGGGCTGGGCATGTCATTTGCGCGTCATGGGCGGGTTGGTGATACATAGATGTAAAGAAAGGTTGTCTGTGTAAGATAGAAATAGAGATAGAAATAGAAATAGAAACAGAAGTAGAAGGGAGGTAGAAGGGAGGACGAACAGGAAAGAGAAAAAGAGGAGGCACTGGGTGAGGTGGACCTGGGTGGGCCTGGGTGGAGGTGGGTTGGGTGGGTGTGCCCTGACACCACTGCCCAGGGAAACTCATGGGGAAACCTGATGTGCTCTCGCACCGTGCTGACCACCCAAAAGGCAAGGACGACAATGATGGGCTGACTCTCCTCCAACCTGCTTGGTTCAAGGCCCACACAGCAGAGGTGGTCTTGGTGGAAGGTGAAGGGATGACTATCCTCGAGAGGATCAGCAGGGCAAAGGACCTGGATGAGAAGGTGGTAAAGGCAATGCAGGAACTGGGAGAGGGCATGCTGAGGTCGGATGAGTGGGAGAAACAAGGAGAGCTGGTTCTGTACAGAGGAAAAGTATACGTCCCGAAAGACTCGCAACTCCACCATGACCTGGTGCGCTTGTACCATGATGCGTGCGTGATGGGGCACCCAGGGCGGTGGAAGACCCTGGAACTCATCTCCTGCGACTACTGGTGGCCATGGATGGCGGAGTATGTCAGGCGGTACATTGTAACGGGTCTATCGCCTAGACTCGAGACAGAGAGAAGGGGGAGGGTGGTAGTGTGCGCTGGTGTGGTTCGTGGGGCCGTTTTGGTCCTGGGGTGCTACCGAGTCTGTAAAAACCTCAAACAAACACTCACCTACATCTCTCTTGGACGTCAAGGCTGAGTATTATGATGTGAGGAGTCTTAGACGTGAGCAACTAGCTCAGAGGGGGTGTTAGGGTCGTGGATGGTGTCTTTGCCACTTGGATGTAACTTCTGCTTGTCCCTTCATGGGTCTATTCAGTACTAACTTGTTATGTACAAGCTATTATCTAGTTTATATGAGTTGGAAATGGAATGAATGGAGTGGGGGAATGTAAACGGGCCGTTAGGCAACCGTAAATGATAAATATCCAATTGGGAACAAAGAAACAATAAAAGAAATATGAATGAATGGGGAAAATGTGACAACGGGTCCGAAATGGGAATTGTGAAGGTTAACTCCGCAACACTTCGCCGCAGCGCCCGCATATCCTCCCGTAAGCAACCTCCTCGTCTCCAGCTTTCCAACGAGCCCTCATTCATCCCAATTGGTGCAGTACTTCTTGAGATGTGGCCATTGACAGGTGCTGTCAAGACCACGTGAGGCTATACACCATGCTGAGCCATCCGAATATGGGGTTGCCATTCTGGGAAGTGCTCCGGGGGTAAAGGAGGAAGGTATAGCATCACCAACGGGTAGAAAAATGGCTGGGTTGTATGTGTGGTTATGGAGATCTGGAGAGGGGGTGAAATTGGCTGCGTGGTTGGGCGTGGGAATTTGGCTTGGGGCTGTTGGGAATGATGGGGAAAATAAGGAAAAATATGGAGTGAGTGTATGGAGTGTTGGATAGTGATAGAATGAGTATCAGGAGCGTCAGCGGATATGTACTGCATATTAGTGACCAAATTCCGCAGAATCTGACTTTTTGTGGTACATGGGGTTGTCCCCACAACAATGTACACAGATGTGACACCTGCAACCATGTCAAATCCTTCCCCTCTCGTAAAGTGGGGAAGCTCATCCTGAACAAGATCCCTGCCTGCCACTGGCAAGTGATTTCAGTGGACATGATCGGAGAACTCCCTGAGTCGAAGGGCTACAACACTGTTGTGGTCGTAGTGGACTGCCTATCCAAATGCATCCACGCAATTCCAACGGTGATGATGGTGGACTCAGCGGGGATCATGTGGCTTTTCCTTGAACATGTCTGGAAGCACCATGGTCTCCCTGAAGAGATCCTCAGCGACAGAGGGAGCACCTTCGTCTCGCAATTCTCGAAAGAACTTGTGGACCTCCTCGGTGTCAAGCTCACCCCCTTGATGCCCTACCACCCCCAGACAGATGGGCAGATGGAGAGAGTAAACCAAGAGGTAGAGGCTTACCTCCGGGTATTCGTCAACCACTGCCAAGATGACTGGGTGGACTGGCTCCCACTAGTGGAGTTTGCCTATAACAACCGGGTCCACTCCTCCACTCACCGAACCCCTTTTGAGCTCAACACTGGCCAACACCCTAGGATGGGGACAGAGCCCACATGCACATCTGAGGTAGAAGCTGCTGATGCCTTCTCATTGAGGATGATGAAGATGCAAGAAGAGGCAAAGGCAGCACTAGAGCACGTGGTGGACGAGATGGCCCGCTACTACGACTGGAACCATGAGGCAGCCCCTACATACCAAGAAGGCGACCAGGTCTGGCTCAGCACCCAGAATTACATGACAGACCGCCCAACCAAGAAGCTGGACCATAAATGGACCAGCCCCTTCACGATTATTAAAGTTGTCTCCCCCACTGCCATCAAACTCCGGCTCACCGCCTGACAAAGAGGAATCCACCCAGTCGTATCTGTGACAAACATCAGACCCCACCACCCTGATGAGATTGCGGAACGCCCTGCCAACCCCTGCCCAGGCCCAGACCTCATAGATGGAGAAGAGGAGTACGAAGTTGAGAAGATCCTGGACTCTAAGTGGCTACGCCGAAAACTCCAGTACCTGGTAAAGTATACAGGCTGGCCACACTTGGAAAACCAATGGCTCACACATGACCACCTAACCCATGCCTCTGACCTAGTCGAGGAGTTCCATCAGATGCACCCCCATGCCCCAGGGAGAGAAAAAGAGAACTGTCCAGCCGCTTCAAGGCAAAGCGGCTTAAGGGGGGGGGTAATGTCAGGGCACACCCCACCTGACCCCGCACTGCACCACCCTACTCTGCTCCCCCTGCTATCACTCCCGGTTTCTCCTTTTCACTTTTCTTCTTTCTTTCTATTTCCATTCCATGGTCAACTTCCCTATCACTACACACCTAACCCCACTCCCCCGATTGCCACGCCTGCCATGTGCATTCCCGCTTACAGAATGGCACACCTCCGGGATCTCCTGCAGAGATACCCAGGGAGGTGCAGCTGTGTGCAGAGATGATGTGGCTCCTCCCATGTGACCCCAACTGCATGTATATAATAGTGCCTGGGGTGGGAACAGAAGAAGCAGCCTTCTTCTCAACTTCCCACTTCAGGTAAGTACTGTAGCTTCTCCCCTTTAATGACAACTCAACTTCCCACTTCAGACTAAGTGGTCGGGGATGCTCACCTCATGACAGGACCGCCGCTATGCATAGCCAACATCTGTCCCATCGAGTCCCTTGCGCCGGGACCTCACCACTTTCAGAGCTGTCCCTGACAAGATGCTGGAAGGCTGGCATTGGGACTTTGTGATGGTGCCATGATACTGACATGCTGTTTTTCCGCATTGACTCTAGGCTTCACACCTCTCTTAGGAGCAGTGGGCATGGCAGTGTTTGCCAGGAGGACTGATGCGAAGTGTGGGGAGAGATTATCAATTAGAGGTTCTGTGGCACGGGCTTTAGATCTTGGAGGACCAGCATTGGGATGCTGCAAAGGTGCCATGATTTCGGAACGCTGTTCCACCACACTGACTCCAGGTCTCACATCACAACTGGAATTTGCAATGGAAGTGCAAGAAGGGGATGCAGGGTGTGAAGATGATCCAACACTATGTTCGAACACGATTTCAATTATCAATGAGCTAAATAGTAAGAATTGGAATAGATACATGAAGTCAATGGCACGAATTATGTTATCCACCTTCCCCCCAAGCATGATGTTGTAACGGGGATACCCTAAACGAGCCAAATCCCGCAATTCAACCACCCTCAGCAAGCACCTCACATCCATCACATGTAGCCTATATCCCCTCACACTCTTTACACACATTTCCTATTTTTCCTAATTTTTCTGATTCCATTTCCGATGTCTAGAGGCCGATGTTTCCATTTTCTTATTGTCATGTGATATTCTTTCCTATTTTGTCTATCAGACTCTTCCGTGACTGCTGTACAGTAGCTAGAGAGTTATCAGCACCACACTCTAGAGGACCAATATACCCTACTTCAGACCTGACCCTCAGTGAGATTCCTATCCCCCCTCCTTCCTGTCTCAAGTCTAGTTGGATAGACCTGTTACAGCGTCCATGGTGTAGCCATTGCCTACTAGCCACTGGAGAATTTCTATAAAGCCATTGAGGCTGTGAGCACCGACCCAAATCTGATTTGCCAACTTCTGAATAGCCCCTGGCCATCCCATAGCCCAAACTCCGAAGTGCTGGTCAAGCCATGGATTAATTTCCCCCTCCCATGCATCTGCGGGCATTGCATATAATGATAAGGCATGCACGATCAACATGATGCTGTATTGTCCAAAAACTGAACCTGGACTCCCTCCAGGGGTGGAGGATGGAAGTCGTTTTGCTGCATCACGAAGTTGAGATATATTTGCAAAGATTGCAGGGGGAGTTACTGGGGTAATATTTATGGAAGGACCTGGAACTGTCCTTGCTTCTACTGGGGTGGTTCTGGAGTCGGAGACGACTCGGGAGTGAGTGGGGTTACTCTTCTTGTCATATCCATCTACAGCCATCGTCCTCCACTACCTCTGATCCTTCTGGACTACCTCCGCTCCTTCATCACTAACCTCGGAGCCTCTGTATTCCGCAATCACCTCCAACTCCCTCGATGGTCACCACCCCCTCAATTCAATATATTACCTACGCCTCCCTAAGTACAGAACCCTGAAGGCCTCCAGACAGCTCCAACGTCTGCTAGCACACTCCCACCCTTGCTGGGCAATTCACTTGCTTGCCCTGCAAGCCTACCTTCAGGCCTATCCCTCCTTTCTGTTTCTGGGTTATAGCCCGCCATTCCACTAACCCCATAACCCGACTTGTTGGTAATATTCAGTTGGCTAACGTTTAACTCCATTAGCTCCGCTCCACTCAGCCCCGCCATTCATGGGCCCACCCTTGCTGTAACTATATATACATAACTTGTAGATAGGTTACACCCTAGTGATAAAATCGACTAGAGTTATCCCCCCTTTTAGTTCTCACTGCCAGTAAGTAAATTAGGGCATGGACATGTAACTAGGCACAGCACTCCTGGTCTGAGTTGCTGAGGCCGAAGCCCTCTGCCATGGAGACGTATCCTTCATCTCATATCCGGTCTCTAACACTTCTTCGGTGTGGAACCACTGAGGGCTTGATAATCAGGGATGGTCTGAGTACAGCCACTTTGTTCGCAAAGCATGTGTCAGGGCACACCTGCCTGACCTGGCCCCACCTGGCCCCACTTCACCTGGTACCCTGCCACCCAGTCCTCTCCTGCCTCCTTCCCCCTTCTTTCTTTCTCTCCCTATTTCATTTTCTCTTTATTTTCTCTTTATTCTACATGGATGACCTTTCTTTGTATCAATGTACCATTGACCCACCCACAGTGTGCTTACAACATGCCCAGCCCAGGTGTCAGGGATGGTGTCGTTCCTTAGGATAGGTCCGATCACTATCCAGGCAACGCTGTCGGGTGGAGCTTGGTGTTCCGGGTCGTCCGATGGCAGGTCAGAGACAGACCAGAGGTGGGGCAGAGCTCTGAGGGTGATGGGGTGTTGAAGGGACTCGGCTTCAGCGACTCGGAATGGAGTGCTGTGCCTGGTACATTCTCGTTGTCCCCAATTTGTCAGGGGAGCTGGCGACAGAGGAACCAAGGCTGCCAGCAGGAAGGGGGCTGGAAGCCCCCCTCACTACTTAACGAAGGAGGCGTTAGCGAGGATCAACCGTTCGTCACACGATTCTTTGGGTGTTATACCAAGGCATCTCTAGGAGTGCCTGTTACTCAGTTCTTTGGAGCACCAGACAAGCGGGACGCGATAGACGTCCTGGAGGAGGTTTTGGAGGGCTGAAGACTGTTTATATTATAACTGGGGGGATTATTTACTAGAAGGGTACGTGCGTACATATAGCGGAAACAATTGGATCCGAAGGTAAACAAAGGTTACCAAGGGGAAGGGGAAGTAAATAGAAAGAAATCCACAAGACAAATAGGAATAGGCGAAAAGCCCAAATTACGTCTGAGGTTTTGTGGAGTGAGAGAATTAAAAGCCAACTGAATGGCAAGGTCTGGAAGCGTCTATGAACAAGCAGGGAACTACAGAGAAAGATGTCTGGAAAGGGCTGGAGCCCAGAAGTTGTAGTCCAGAAGATTGGGGTTGTAGAAAATATCAAATGATAAAACAATAAAGATTATTGAGACTGGAGGTAATATAGGAATGAGGAGGTACCAGAGGTAAGGAGGTACCAGAAGGGAGGAGGTACTGGAGGTGAGGAGGTACTGGAGGTGAGGAGGTACTGGAGGTGAGGAGGTACTGGAGGTGAGGAGGTACTGGAGGTGAGGAGGTACTGGAGGTGAGGAGGTACTGGAGGTGAGGAGGTACTGGAGGTGAGGAGGTACTGGAGGTGAGGGGGGGGGGGGGGGGGAGGTACTGGAGGTGAGGAGGTACTGGAGGTGAGGAGGTACTGGAGGTGAGGAGGTACTGGAGGTGAGGAGTACTGGAGGTGAGGAGGTACTGGAGGTGAGGAGGTACTGGAGGTGAGGAGGTACTGGAGGTGAGGAGGGGGTACTGGAGGTGAGGAGGTACTGGAGGTGAGGAGGTACTGGAGGTGAGGAGGTACCGGAGGTACTGGAGGTGTGGAGACCAGAGGTTGGAAGGAGGGTGGATAAGCAAGTTGAGATTTATCAACAACGAGCAAACCCAACTCCTTTGAACAAGGTGTCCAAGGAGGTGGAGGTATGGTGGTGGAGGTCCAGAGGTGATGTGGACATAGGTGGGTGGCAGAGTGGGAGAGAGTTGAAAGAGGAGGTAGTCCTAGGGTCATTGGCATTGACTGGAGGCAGCAGAGAGAGATTGGGAGGGCTGGTGGAGGTCATAGGAGTCGTGTAGTGATGGGGTGGAGGGAGGCAGAATGAAAGGTTGCTTACTTATTTGGGGACGGTAACGTTCCGTTCCCCCGTTTGCCTCAGGCCTCAGTTACTCCATCTAAATATAAGCTTAAATGTGCTCTATATTCAACGGGGTAGAGGTAAAAGGCTACTGGGCCTTTACAACTACTCCGAGGTATATATATGTAAATTACATATCTCGGCGCAAATAAATAAAGAAATAATAGCATCACTATAATGGGAATTATAGTGAAGTAAGGTTAATCCCTTACACAGAAGATCTGGGATATGACACCAGGCACTTCAGGGAACCCCCCGCTATGTCCAACTCGTGCATTCACAGTGGATGCCCTTGGGATCCCCCATGGGGACACCCAGGTGACTACAGCTGTATGTGAGGGTGACATGGCACCCATCATGTGACCCAAGCCGCATGTATATAAACGTACCTGAAGTGGGAACTGAAGAAGTAGCCTTCTTCTCACCCTTTCCACTTCAGGTAAGTAGCATAGCATTCCCCTTTAATAATAATAACACCCTTTCCAGTGGCCAGGGACTGCCTCCTGAGCCGGGCCCGCCAGTATGCATGCCTGCTCCACACCTTCCAGTGTTGGGCATCTCACCTGGGCCTCCTCTACCCTGGACACATCCCTGACAGCATGGGTGCTTGTTTTGGTTGTTTTGGGGAATTGTCGGAGCTCATAATTAAAGGATTCCGTGGAAAACATAATCAATTGAGGTACCACACTTGGCATTTTGGTCAATGTACATTAAGAGGTATCGTCTATATGATGGGTCTTAATAAGAAATCCAGGGAACATGCTCTTCTCGTGCTTGGAAATGGGGACATGTTGAGGTTGAGTGTTAGAGACCAGAAGCGAGATGAAGGAGTTGTCTCCATGGTAGAGGGCTTCAGCCTCAGCGACTCAGACCAGGAGCGCTGTGCCAAGTTACATGTCCATGCCCTAATTTACTTACTGGCAATGAGAACTAAAAGGGGGATCAACTCTAGTCGATTTTATCACTGGAGTGTAACCTATCTACAAGTTAAGTATATATAGTTACATCGAGGCAGGCCCGTGAATGGCAGGACCGAGCAGAGCAGAGCTAATGGAGTTAAACATTAGCCAACTGAATATTACTGACGAGTCAGGTTATGGGGTTAGCAGAATGGCAGGCAATAACCCAGGAATGGAAAGGAGGGATAGGCCCGAAGGTAGAACTGCAGGGCAAGCAAGTGAATTGCCCAGCAGGGGTGGGAGTGCGCCAGCAGACGTTGGAGCTGTCCGGAAGCCTTCCGGGCTCCATACTTAGGGAGGCGTAGGTAATATATTGAAAAGAGGGGGTGGTGACCATTGAGGGAGGCAGAGGTGATTGCGGAATATGGGGGCTCCGAGGTTAGTGAAGAAGGAGCGGAGGTAATCTGGAAGGACCGGAGGTAGTGGAAGATGATGGCCATGGATGGATATGACATTGAGTGCTCCACCCTCTTTGCCAGCTAGAACGATTTGACCTTGCTTCACTCGATGAAATATGGGCAGACTGAACACTCCACCCTTCTCATCAACCAAAAAGAGTGCAGATGCTTCAATAATGTGTAACCTCTATGAGCAGCTCGTTCCTCCTGCAAAAGAGCAGAATGACCAAGACAGCTTCAACCTCGTGTTCTTAGATAGAGTAAGAGGCTAGTGACGAATGAGATTCAGCCATGGCAAACAAACAACTATACAGTTTATTATGTAATCAATGCATCGCTAGCGTGACCTTGCCTGCATGTGATGCCAAAAATGTATATATTATATGAGAAGAGAAAAAGGAGTACACATGGGAGATACAAAGTGTCAGGGCATACACCCTGACCTAGCCCATATCCACATCCACACCCACACTCGCACCCGCACCCACGACCGCACCCGGCTGCTGCACTTCCCACATGCACCCTGTGCCGGACGCTCAGTGCGGCCAGATGGCCCGGACCTCGGGTCTCGGGTCTCATGTGACTTCCGGATATCTCCAGAAGTTTTCGATGTATTGTGGCCACTGTGGGAAGATGAGAAGTTAACTTCCTTCTCATCTCTGACCCACAGTAGGCAAGTTGTATATACTTGCCTCTCTTATATATACCATCTCTGACCCACAGTAGGATTGTGCCCTGGATTGGGCTAGCCAGACTTGAGGCTGTGGGCCATAGGGGAGGGTCATGGGGACCCGGGAGTTGTCCCCTGACACAAAGGAGGGGAAAGGCACACATGCAAGGGAAACATGGTGGGAAAGAGAACACATTACGTAATTGTGGACTCCAAAGTGACCATGCAAGCACGGAAATGACACAAATACACAAGGCAGAAGAACGACCACATCAAATAAGATGAGTCCACAGCTCAGAGACGTGCTTCATGTAGCGAGGCCTACCAAGATTCAGTTCAAGCATGATTTGCCAATTATTACCCTTAGCATGATATTGAAGCATTTCTGCACTCGACTCAATGATATGCAGTTCTTCAGCATTCCTCGTCATCTCTTCGTGAGCCCAGCATGCAACATGGTGAATCACACCATCCATAGGGCCTGACGTTGGCCACATAGGCATGGAGAATTTCAACAGACCTTGACTCTGGAGAGAGTGGGCACCAATAAGAACCTCAAAATGATGGAGTTCAGTATCAGAAGCCTCCTGATACACTCTAGATTGTAGCCAGGCAGCTGAAAATGTGATGCATTGCATAGGATGTATATGATCATTTTCGTTGGGGGGAGGGTGTTGGTACAGGGACTGGGGAACAAGGGGGGGATACTTTTTGTACTGAAGGAACACGTGAAGATGATTTGCCTTGTTCACCTTCAGAGGTGTGGTACTGATGATAGCTGGAATATCAGCATGCTTGCGTGTAAATGCCATATTCACATATAGCAAATCCACTGTGGATGTGTAATTAAGGAGCGAGCTGACATACATATCTGATGAACAAGCTCTTCCCTCTGAACGCAACTTATCAGCCATTCCATCATGATCAGCAAGACGCTTAAAGAGCAGCTCCATAGACAGTGGCTCACGATGCCCGCTCTTCCTCACACGATGCACTGTGTAGACTCCTTGGGCACTGCACTTTTCCAGCCAGAGCAACTCTGGGTCCTGAACCTCATCTACCACAAGGTGATACCAGTGGCCTAGAGGTACCACAGGCCAATGCGCTGGAATTGACAAGCTGAGCATGCCAACTGACTGCAAGGGAGCCACCACACAGCCACCCTCATTCGGTGGCAAAGCATGATACCCAATAGTTACAAGAGGACATGTTGGCTCCCTTGCCACCACAATCTTGGCAAGGCCGCTGTCTGATGCCTTCTGGCTTTCATTGTTCAGCCTTGAGAATGAATCCATGGATTGACTGCCCTTGCTCAGCGATGCGGCCAGTGGGGAGGCAGCGACATGGCTGTCCCCAGGATGCATCGGCCTCCTCACCACGGAATTGGCACTTTTGAGGTCCTTGGACAAATCTTCTCCAATGTATGCGAAGTTCAGGCCATTACCCGAGAAGGCTACCGATACTTCATCACATTTGTTGATGATCATTCCCGCTTCCTCACAGTCTACCCTATCAAGAGGAAAAGTGAGGCTCTTGAAACCTTCAAGGATTTCTTGGTGGAAGCTGAGCAGCAATCTGGGAAAAGGTTGAAAGTTTTGCAAACTGATGGAGGAGTGTCAGGGCTCGGTCCTCAATCAGGGACAGCCCGACCTCAGGCCTAGGTGTGTGCGGTGTTCCGGGTGGTTGGGCGCTAGACCCTGTCCTCAGCTCCTCAAACTCACTGAAGGGACTAAGCGGGGATTGAGTTGTCATGTATTACAGAGGGTAACTACAACTTGCCTAAGCGGGGATTGAGTTGAGAAGAAGGGTAAGTTTCCCTATTCCCTGCTTGGCTACTATAAAAGGGAAGTGTACTGTACAGTTCATAACGTGACTCCGGGTAGAAGCCGAGCATGTTCCTGCGACTCGGAAAAGGTGTCACATGGGTTAAGGCGAGTTGCTCGCCTTGACCCACGTGATTTTTCCTGCGGGCTCACATGCAGGCTGAAGTTGTGAGAGATATTTAGGGATGGGGAGGTAAGGGAAGTGGGGGAAGTCTGGGAAGGTGGTTCTGGGGTGTGGTTGGGTGCCCTGACAGCGGGGTCAGGGGCCGATCCCTGACAATTCCTCGGACTTTCAACCCCGCCTCCGTAACCTCCATAACCTCTGTAACCTCCGTAACCTCTGAGCTCCACAGATTATCTTCGGCACTTTCGCCGCTTGTAATGTATCTCTCATGTTTTCCCCTCATCCCTATTTAGACTGCTGCTTCTTCCCATTCTAGCCAGTTAGTCATCATCCCCACTTCCCCTCGTCCTCCTGCCCCTCTGGGCTTCACCCTCCTTACCTCCTTTCGGACGTACTACAGGTTCTACCTTATGACCTTTGGTACCGCTCCGCTGTAGGAGAAATAACGGCCACACTATGGAAACCCATTATGGAAATATGCCAGAAAAATCACAAAAACCTCATACGACAAGTAGATATGAGAACATAGAAGGACCTGAATTTTAACGAATTTTACGAATTTTTACGAATTATTACGACTATACACGATAAATCGAAAGAAAGAAAAATAACAAAAATACTTCAAGCTTACCATCAACGAGACGGAATTCTCGGGGGAATTTATAGCAAATATTAAACCAAGAATTAGGACAATCGACCAAGATTTGACTATAAAAATAATCAGAGAACCTCCACGGAAACTACTTTCCCACGTCCGCACACGTAGCAAGGATGGAAGTACCACGGAACAAAGATTCCTCAGGAACTAATGCAAAAGTCAAAGTCGTGTTTATAATAGGAAATGTAGATGTCACCCAAACGGAACCAATGAGAGTAATTACAGGGGAAACTACCCATAAACGACGGAGATATGACTAAAACTCCTGCAAAACGAGGACAATGTCTAAAAAGCAAGCGCAAAGATTAACTAGTAACGACCGAGACAAGCTTGATAGCCCATTAGAAAGGAAAGGATCTACTCTTAATCCTCCCAAATTTCCATAATAAAAGGATCATGCGTTAATGAGAAATCCAATAACGGGAATAGCGACATCAAAAGTCCGAGCTCAGGGACAAGACGATGATTGCGTAGGATCCATAATTAAAACATACAACGAAATTTACACGGAAATTATGAAAAATAGGAAACTATAGTTATGCAAATTCTCAGCCCAAACAGTCCAGCCGTTGTGAAGTTATACCCATGACGGGAATATAGGAATCCGCATCATGTGTAATGACACGTGAGGGTGGCAATGCGCAGGGAACCGGCCGTCGGAACCGAGATCCGCACTTCGGCAGATCGCGAAGACCAATTTCCGTCCAAATAAGGAAGAGCCCGGTCAAAACAAAGCACGAAAAGTGCAAAACAACCTTAGATCATGAGGGAAAAATCTGAAATAAATCACAGAAGCCCATATGAAAGAAATAAACACCCGCGCATATCATAAATCCCGAACAACTAAACGAAAACGGCTCCCGCATACGAACAACTATGGGAACGACGCACGTGATTACCGAATGTGTGCGCGAAACTTTGCTAACTCAACGAATACAGGGAAATAGGACACAACCTTAGTACCATTGGAAAGGTGGGAATAAATGAAAATTTATGATACCAAGAACGTGAGAAAACATCCAGAAATGAATGAGATACAAGGACATGAAGTTAGAAACCTGAAAACACGTGGGAAGACAGCTTCAAGAGGTCTAGAGCCCTAAATAAAATACATAAAAATATGATATCTTCGAGGACGACCTACTATAACAACGAACAATACATATGGAGGATTAGGATGGGATAATACAAAGGGGAATCAGGGAATATGAACGAAATTCACGAAAACTACTAAACTACGACGGACCATGGCGGGAATTTTAGGGAACGATGTTCTAATGAAGTAGAGAGCTATAACACATTCGTTTGAGTAATTCTTGATTACTAGCAACTTTTTCTTTCAGTTTTAAACCTGAATAATTCACTCATTTTAACTAAATGTCACTAAATAAAATTGGAATAAATCAGCTAAAGGTCTCAGCACAGTCGCACGCATAGTAATGCGAGGTTTGAATTCAGTATGACCGAGTCATAGCGAACTTAATGGGAAATATGGGGAATTTGAAATAGGGAACTGCGGCAAATGCGGCGCAGACAAATTCTAATTAACCATTAAAATAGCTTAGGCGAGGAAGGACAATAAGGATTCCAGGCGCAGTCTGACCGCAGTAGAGCCGCAGTTCAGCGCAGCAAAGCGCAGTGGAACTATAGCGTGAAAATTTCACTTTTTATTCAGTTTGAGAAAAATACACTGTAAATAAATCCTGTAAATAGAAGGTAGAGCGTGAAAAAGGAAGGCGACCCAAGGAGTATAAAAGGGAGACCCTTTCTGCGACTTTTCACCCCCCTTAGAGAAGTAAGAAAATAGAGTATTATTTTTCTCAAGCATTTCTGGTTGTCACTCCAGTGCGAAAAAGTGATATACAGTTAAGATTGCCACTGTAGTAAAAGGCAGCAATTAAGGAGAGAAGTAAGAAAATAGAGTATTATTTTTCTCAAGCATTTCTGGTTGTCACTCCAGTGCGAAAAAGTGATATACAGTTAAGATTGCCACTGTAGTAAAAGGCAGCAATTAAGGAGAGAAATATTAAGTAGATATTTCAACAGGAGAGCTGGTTAACACTCCAGATTTCAAAGTGTAAACACAAAACAGTTATTTTGCTACTGTTAAAACAAGCAATAAAATAAGACAAAAATAAAACAAACTCAAGGGACACTCCAGACATAATCCAAATTCATTAACTGAATAGAATCTTTGAAACTTCACAAGTAGAAGATTAAATTCAAGTTTAAATCCAAATTAAACAACGCTACACAGAATTACACCTAGACAAATTAATAAATTTCAATAAAGAAACAGCTCCGCAGGGCTCGGTTTATCTGTAAGTCAATTCCCAGGAACTTTAAAACTAACCCATAAAAATAGAATTAGCCAAAACACTCGGATTGGTACTTTATTTACAATAAATAACACTAGTACACTTCCCCATCCTAACTACAGAACCAGGGAACAGCTTGGTGGTGGTCTCGTTTGAACCTCCCAACTGACCTTCCTTCGTTCTCTCCTTCACCGCTTCTGTCATCCCTTTGTTCTTCATTCCGATTCGGATCCCCTTTGTTTCCTTGTGCTTTCGCCCTCTCCATTATATATATCGGCACTTGTACATACTTGTTTTAGTCCTTAGTCTGGAATCGACCTGAAATGCCCCCTAGAGACTTCCTGCTCGCCTCCTATGAAATTAAGGACCAAATGGACAAACAGCAATGGCACAGCGCTCCGCTTGAGTCGCTGAGGCCAAGGTCCCTCCTTGCTAAGTCTCCGGTTCCCCTCCGGAATCGTCCACCCTTGCCCAGTTCTAACACACCACCAGGATCTGCTGATTATGGGAACGAGGATATAGTTTGGAAACTGCAGAAGAGTCTATATGGACTAAAGCAAGCATCAAGGGCATGGTACCAGAAGGCTAAAGAAGAATTTGGTCGACTCGGATTCACCCACTGCGACTCCGATCATGCTGTCTTTGTCCATAGGGGCCAGAACAAAACGTTATGTATTATTGCCCTATATGTCGACAATTTAATGATCTTATGCAATGATGCCCGCTTACTCAAGGTCAAGAAGGGACAACTCAAGGACACTTTTAGGATGAAGGACCTTGGACTGATTCATTGGTTCTTAGGGCTGGAAATCACCTGCGATCGACCAAGATGCCTAATTTATGTTCTGTCAGGGCACACCCGCCTGACCCGGCTCCACCCGGCCCAACCTGACCTGGTACCCCGCCGGTCCACCCTTCCTTACCTCCTCCCCCTTTCCCTTCTTCCCCCTCATCCTCCCCTCCTCAGTTTCTCCTTATCTTACTTCTCCTTTATTCTCTCTTTATTCTACATGGATGACTTTCTCTGTATCAATGTACAACTGACCCATCTGCAGCGCGCCCACCATGTACCCGGCCCGGGCACCTCGGGCGACTTCCCGCTGTGCCCAGCACGCGCGCCTGCACCGGATACCCTCGGGATCTCCCACGGAGACACCCAGGTGGTTACAGCTGTGTGCGAGGGTGACGTGGCATCCATCATGTGATCCAAGCCGCATGTATATAAACGAACCTGAAGTGGGAACCGAAGAAGTAGCCTTCTTCTCAACTTTCCACTTCAGGTAAGTAGTACAATATTTCTCCTTTAATAATAATAACAACTTTCCACTTCAGTCTAAGTGGCCAGGGACCACTGTCCCACATCAGGCCTGTCAGTATGCACGCCCGATCCGCCCCCCGCCAGGCTCTCGGTCCCGGACGCTATACCCGGACCCCCTCGACC